GCGTCTTGTATATCAACGAGAACGCGTAGAGTAGCTTATTTAGTGTGGCAACTCCCCTAATCTTAACGCTGTTGAGCAAGCATAGCTATGGTTAAAGAGAAGAATAACTAAGAAAGGAGCTCCCAAGAATAGAGCAGAGGCAACAAAAGTATAGGAGGATGCGTGAACAGCTCTACCACAGCAACAAATACAAGCTTGGATAGAGAGGATACCTATACACGTTTAAAAGATTATTGAACTTTGTCGGCATACACACGGTGTGTCGCCTAATAAGGCCCAATGTACCGCCTCGATCCTACTTCGGCCCAACTCGGACCCAACGCTATGTATACCTTCGTAGCCCCCACATTCGTAGAATCATCATACACCAGAATACCAATACACAAGATTACCTTAGCTACTGTTATTCACCGTACGATCGTACAAGGCCTTCCAACAAACTTAATGGTGGCAATAAGTATAAGGAAGGCAGAGGTCTGTTAAGAGAGCGTTGAGACAGCCCTGTCTATATTTCGGTAGAACTTCGGTAGTAATCAAGACACCCCTGTCGGCAAAAACTTTTGAAAGCCACCTCCGTCTCTTCTTGTGGGCTCATCCGATACATCTCTGGTAACGTCACTTTTCCCATGTTTCTCTTCCGATGTCCTGTTATACGCCGGTTGGAATTCTTGGAGCACCTTTCCAAGTTTTTTAGAAAAAGGCGAGTCCCGTCTTAATGGTTGTTTACACGTCAAAAAATATAGTACGCTTAGCGATTTGTCGATAGCAAGCTCAGCGGTGTGATCAATCAACGCCTCTGAATTTAAAATTTATCTTAGCTGTACCTGTTTGATTCGTATAGCAGTACTCGCTAACGACTTGGCTTTTGCACACAGATTTTGAGTAGGCTATCGTCTAGCTAGATATTTCATACAATGACGTCGCTATGCACGCAGAGTGGGCCATCCTGTTCAGTCATTATACTATATAGTGGCGTTGATATCCTCAGACCGGAGCTCTATCCGAAGGTAAATCGTGGAACAATAGCGACGTTGATGGCCAGGGCCTTTTTGATTTTGCAAAAGAAAGACCCCTGCGATCCGGAGGTGAGGCTGTGCATACGCACCCAGCGTTGCAGGCCTACGCCGATCGACTGCATCACAAAAGCTAAGGGTGCAGGGCCGAGGGAAAGGGCCGAACTTCTTGCATTAGCTATCCGAGGATTCCGTGTTTCCAGTGCTTTGAGCGGCATAAGGGAAAATGAGGTGGTAAGGGACCTATGGGTATTTGACAATCTCTATTACGGATTGTCCGATCCAAGGCAAAGATGATCGGAGACGAAGTGAAGAATGAGATAGTGGCAGGCAACTGTGTGCTGCTGTGTGCTAACTAACTCTTATCTGGTTAAGCGGTTGCGTATCGACCAAGCTCTACTTAATGCGGGCCAAAGCCTATGGTATGATAAAGTGGGTCTGGAAGGCCCTTGCATGTGCATTGACGATCCCATCTGGTCCATCCCCTTAGATCTTAGCATTTCTAGTCGCTGCGGGGTAATGGATGGGCATGTCAGCTACAGGTTCCCGCATTTGTTTTGTAGGTCAGCTTGCGCCTTTCTCCTCGTCTGCATATCCAAAGGTGCTTTTGTCGACCAAATGAGTAGTCCTCGTCCCAAGTTGACTCGACGGAGAGGTGCATGCGAAGAGTGCCGTCAGAAAAAGGTTCGATGTAAGTTTATTCCCTAATAGCCGAGATACATGCTAAGAGACATAGGTGATGGAGCGAATCCGTGCAACCACTGCCAGGTAGACAAAAGCCTTTGTTCTATCCTGAGGCTCGCTAATAACACGACGATAGCGGAACGAATCTCTGTGTGAATACAATGCACGTCGATCGCGACGTCATCTACGAGAGAAGAGTGTACACAGTCTTAATAAGCACGTCTCCGCAACAACACAATCGTACCTGATGAATGGCGGCACGATGCCTGATTCATCAAACCCAGATCACTTTTCTGAGGTTGCTGTTTGCCAGGATACTGGGGGCTTGGCAAATCCTTTAAACACGCCATTTAGTGGGGTTTCTCTCTCGCAGTTAGGGTCCGACAGCGCGTACTCATTTCTGGATTTTGATATCTCAGGCGAAACCATACCTGGCACCAACAAGCCCGAGAACACAGGTACACACCAGGACTCCTTTGTTTTTCATTTTCAGTGCTGGATAGAAGCATCTATGGCTATTCTATTCAAAGGCATTTCTTTCTTCTCCGATGGAACCAAAAGCTGACTAGGGGATAGAGTCAGGCGATCAAGCGGGTAGCCTGCAGAATCAGATGTCGTGCGGTAACTCCAGAAATGACATAGTCACGCTGGATTGGTTGGAGCTAGGTTACGACGAAAACCTACACCAGCATAACACTGTTCAGCGCCATAGCTTGCTAGGAACTAAAGCAGATAGTGGCGGCGCCACGTGTATTCTTGCGCTCTTCTCGGAACGAATAGTAGCCGACAAAGTAGAGGTAAACGACCTGTTCCTCTTTTCTGACTATGTATATCGAATCTCTAACACTACAAAGACAAGGCCGTGCTCAACCCATAGAACGTACAGAATTGCTGCTCTTTTCCAAAACGCAGATGGGGGGAGCCGTAGACAACAGACAGTGCTAGACAGAGTCAATGTGCTACTTTCTTCAAATCACCAGACCTGTTTCTCCAGTCTCTTGCGCAAGATTGACTCTGGTAGAGAACATCAGAGCCTGGACCTAAATGATCTGTCTATGAGGAAGCTTATCCAGAGTATGTCCAGGATGTCGTCTATGAGAGTCTTGCTGATGATTTACAAGGGGCATTCAAGGAGCCAGGAGGGTGAGTTAATCAAGTATAAAATGCACCACATGAGCTCATATGTGGAATAGCCTGAATCTGTTCATCAAAGAACAGGATGTTACGCGTATACAAGAGCAATTTGTTGACCTAGGAAATCTGCCTATAGACGTTAGCGACATGTCATTGCTTATTGTCTCACTCGCTTGGGGGGCCTTGTTAGATCCAGAAGTAAGCTCAGTTTCTAGAGCAGCGCTACTAGATGCTGTGCTAGAAATTTCAACGTTGTTACTTCGCCAGAATGGTAGTGTCCGTCAGTTCTTGGTAGGTTCTTCCGATCGATGACAACAAAGGTTTTGCTAATCTAATCCAGGCGCTTGTTGCCGTAGTTCGTAAAGATATGATCATCTACGACGAAGCATTTGGCTAACTTATCCAGCTCGGTCTTGCCGAAAAAACGGGATCAGAAAAGCTCCATACGCTTATACTTGGCAGCATTTCAACTGCGGCCTCGTTGAACCTCCATTTAGAACCTGTTCTACGCAAGTTCTGTACTAGCGATGAGCAAGCCATTCAGACTAAACGAGCCATGTGGCTACTCTATTGCATTGATAAATCTTATGCGTTGAGGTGGCAAACCTTTTCTGTAAGCTCTACATATTTTTCTTGGGCTAGTCGGGTCAAAGCTGATACAGAACACAGCTAGTCAGCGAGGGTTCCCTTCCGATTACGAACCCATCTGACAGCATAATTGGGAATGATGTTGCGACTACACACTCCTCGGAATGGTTGTGGATTCGGGCTCAGTACTCCAAGATATGCTCAAACATCCTGCAGCTCCGAGTGAGCGCAGAGGAAGAGCCATCCAAAGATCATTCTAACAGGGCTGTGGCGCTATCAACGGCGCTTGGAGAATGGTATAAGTCAACTAGGGTCAGCCAGATGATTCTCTCTCTGGACTACAAGGATGCCATGCGTATCAAGCTCCAGACATCCTACTATTACTATGAGGCTCGGGTTCAGTTACTGAGTATAAGCCTGCCAGATACACGATCTTCTTCTCCTGCAGAGTCCCAGGAGTATAGAGAATTACTCAAGCAATCAACACGCGAAACAATCTCACTTTCTAGCACGATGTCATCTGAATACCTTCTCCAAGATTGGTACGTGTCACACAAAGTAGTATCTCTCACAATCCGCCTATACTAATTAGTTGTACAACAGCAACCATCTATTCATAAACACAATTGCTCTGTGTTTACTTGCCCTGGACATTCTCCTAGAGCCGGACCAGGACAGTAGGGAGAGCAGAGCTTTACTCAGCATTGTTGCTGGTTTTTTTGCTAGGATAGGAATTATGTTGCCGCAAAGCTCTGTTTTTGAGGAGGTGTCTAACTTAATCGACATTCTTACATATCGTTGAATTAAAGGTAGTGTAAGAGCAAACAATATACGCTTATTGTGGTTATCTTTGTTTCGTAATCTCCCGTCCACAGATTGATCTTGTCAACAGTCTGTAGGAACTGTATTCTAGGTACCTAGTCCAGATGCTATCTACGCTCGAGATAAACACCAGAAGATCAATGCGAACAGCCATCCTGATTGTTTGGGCTGACGCACGGCCCACATGCTGCTGAAGGAAGGCGTGATAGAAGGAAGGAAGCTACTAAGCCAGCTGCCCAGTCATGTGGTTAGGGCTCAGGATGAAACGGTTTGGGCCTTGTCAAGACTTACTCTAGTATGAGCTGGGTACGGCTATCGCTACCACACTTTGTTATCCCACACACACATCTATATACAGCTCCCCTTCTTTATAGCTATTCCGTGCAACGCAATTCTTTTCCTCTCTTCACACCATTACATATATCTTCACTGCTACCTAGACTGCTGCTTCTGTTTCCTTACGCAACATCTTATAGAACACTTGATGTTGTACGTAGCAATCGAATAAGCACTCTAAGGAGCATCTCCAATACTTGCGGTAGCGTTTCGTGAAAACCTATACCTTATAGCATGACTCACAAGCGAGCCGTCAGCTAAAGTACCTACGAGTAGGTATATACAAGTTCCTCTTCTAGGCTTAGTGTATCTATCTCTGCAAGCACATCACTTAACCCTGGCATGGTGTTGAGAGAAGTGGCTGCGGGGCTGGCCAACATCACGGCGGTGGTAGCGCACTTGGGAGGAAGGAGAGTGATGGTAGGGTTGGTGTACATACTCGGTCTGTATGCACGAGATAGAAACGAGGAGACGGAGCAGGAGCTGAGCAGTAGACCGAACATGATAATCGGGCTTCTCCAGGGCTTGCTATTGCGCGATCCATACATGGAAATGGTCTATTACCAGCCGAAGAACCCACGTTTACGAGCAATGCCAGACCAGTGTCCGCGATCGACTTGAGGCTCACCACGTTGAGACGGGTGAGCGAACTGGCTAAATGTGCCAGACTATCAAGCGATCCACGCGACCCTCTAGATGAATGCAGAGATTGAGAAAGCTCCTTCAAAGGCTGCTCCTCTCAACCCCCCTACCCCCGCAAAAACAAAAAACCTGTGGCTTGGAACAAGGCCAGGGAAGCAGGGACAGCCCAGATAAGGCGCTGGATGGAGGCGGCATACCGGCACGCGTGTGGAGAGCTCTGGCTTGCCTCGGGTGTAAGATCATAATGCCCTTCAGCAAAGGACTGAAAGAAGGGAAGATGACAAAGAGAGTGCTGCTGTAGAAGCCGAAGCGCAAGGAATACGCTATGCCCTCGCAGCGCAGCATCTGGACTTGTCGGCCGAAGTATAACACCAGCCGGCAATTTCGGAGGCAGCAATCCTCGTCTAGTCACAGACAGACAAAAACGTCCCTTAAAGCAGCAGGAACGGCAACGCGCGAATGCGGACCCATGAATCGATCGCCCATTTTCTCTTCTCGCGCAGGTCATGGGGAGAGTTTTAGAGAGCTCTCCTGCCTGCTAATTAGGACACTACTCTAGGAGGCAGGAGGGAGGCTTGAACGTGGCGAGGGCGACAATTGTGTTTGCAAAGGATAAAGGATGGCTTTTAAGCTAGTTGTGAGGGCGTCACTCTCTATCTAACTTTCACTGTATTGCTTAATGTGGTTTACAACCGAGCGGCCTACAATCTACCAACGCGCCCATATCAATATAAAAATGCGTTATGTCTTAACAACACAACTTGCAATCAATCTATCCTGAAGTAGATATCCAGCTTACCCTCTCTGATATCCATTCCCAACGCGTTCCAAGTCAAAGACGAGCTGCTACAATCTACAACGTGCCCCGAAGAACCCTATCTTACCGACGTGCTGGAAGACGCGCACGATGCGAATGCGAAGCGAACTCAAAGCGCCTAAATAAGCTAAAAGAGGAGGCTGTATTTAAGCGTATTCTTAAAGAGTCTGTGCGAGGATTTGCGCCTATAAAGGCTGACGTTCGAGCAATGACTGATAAACTCTTGGATGAGTGCGCTAGCAACCCTGTTGGTAAGAACTGGGTTGACAACTTTGTTAAGAGAACTCCGGAGCTCCGTACGTGCTGGAGCCGTCCTTATAATCACCGGCGAGCTGCCTGCGAAGACCTAGCGGCTATCCAGCGCTGGTTTGACCTAGTCAAGTCGATAAAGGAGAGGTGGGGTATTGTAGACGACGATATCTATAACTTTGGCGAAACTGGCTTTATGATGGGCAAGATTTTATCACAGATAGTTATCATAAGCTCAGAGGGATATGGCAAAAAGAAGCGGATACAGCCAGGCAACCGTGAGTGGGTTACTGTGATCCAAGGCGTGGGCGCGTCGGGTCGCCGGCTACCACCCTTCGTTGTCTTTGCGGGCAAGGTGCTTATCGACGTCTGGTTTCAGAACTTACCTACTGACTGGGTTCTTGAAGTTAGTCCTAATGGCCGGACGAATAATCAGCTTGCTCTTGCCTGGTTGGAGCACTTTGATACCCATACAAAGAGCTGTACTGTGGGTGGGTATTGACTACTTATTATCGACAGTCACGAGAGCCACTGCTCTGTCGATTTTCAAGATCTTTGCAAGGAGAAGGATATTATTATTCTCTGCATGTCTGCACACTCGTCTCACCTATTGCAGTCTCTTGATGTCGCCTGCTTCTCGCCGTTGAAGCGCGCGTATGGTGACATGATCTCAGGCTTGGCACGCAACCGCACCCACTAACGTGTCTGTGCGCGTGATGCCCATAATCGCGTGCCGCACACCCCACCAATATCGCGACGACGGCAAAGTTGAGGCTGCGCAGCCACGTACAATAACTATTATCGCGAGATTTTCCGGTGTATTGATCTATAGACGTAGCTCTACAACTTTGTCTATCTATATTTTGCCGGAGTATTGACGGCCCGGCCGCGTCGGGTGGTTGTTGGTGGGGGAGCCGGTGCAGCCACCTCAGCCAGAGTACCACCGCCAGCACCACCCACGCGTCGTTTTTTTGGCTGTTGCTTTGCAGCGGGCTTTAAAGCCTTACGCTTGCCCGACTAGGGTTGTTGTATAGCCTTTGCAGCGTCGCGATCGCGTCGTTTGGCGTCAAGTTCGGCAGCCTTTACAGCCTTGGCTTCATCCCGCACCTTCTTTGCCTCCTCACGCGCCGCCCGCGCTGCCTCTTTGATCTTAAGTTGATAGATCCTGTTGTTCTCCTTTGCCTCTTTCAACTCTATCTTATCAAGTAGCTCTTTCTCCTTCTCCTTCTCCTTCACTAGCTGCCTAAAGCGGGCCTCTCGAAGCTTGCACGGCGACCACTAAACTGCCCCTGAATAGAACGCTTTTCGCTGCTGTAGATCTAGGGGAGGTTCGTGCCGATTGCGGGGCTTCTGGTGAACGTGTAGCGCCGCGCGCAGTGCGTCCTTCTCGTACTCGGCGATCTCTTTGGCAGCCTGGAGGCGGAGGAGTATTTCTGAGAGGTTGTTGGCCGCAATAGAGCTCGGATCGTAGGCCTGATTAATGAGGTTCGTGATAGTAGCTCTACTCACGTTCACTAGTGGCGGCGGTGCTGTTAGTGTTGACTTTCGGAACTTTTTAAGTACTACTTCGGGATCTATAGGAGCTATCCCAGTGGCTTTAAATGCCTTCAACGCGTGCTTCTTAATAAAAGAGGAGTCCTAGGCAGGCTTAAAAAGACGGTAGAAGTCATCCTTCCTCACAGCTAAGAGACCGTGGCTCGCCTGGAGGTAGTGCTGCAAGCTGAGTGAGTACGCGGCTGCTAGAGGTTTGAACATTACCACATCGAGTGGCTGCAGCGTATGGGTACTATGGGGGGGTAGTACGAGTAACATAATATTGTGGGCGATCGCGTAGTCAATAAACTCCATAGTAACGTGACTCCCATAGCCGTCAAGGATGAGTAAGCGTGTGTGATTGCCGGCCTTCTCCTTCGTATGGCGATCAAACACCTGTTCGAGCCATGCCAGGCCTACCTAATCATTGGTCCACCCTGAGGGACTTGAGGTAACGTAGACTAGATCGTCAATTGCGATATCATCAACCTATCTGGCGTACATGTTGCCCGAAGTAGCTTCGTATATAATCGCGGGCGGTAACGTACTCCTATTAGCACATATAGCAGCGATAACAGTGATCCAATCTCTGTTGCCGTCCTGTATCACTTTCTTAAAGCCCCCAGTCTCATATTTCTGCTTACTAAACACTCTCTTACTCCTCCCCGTTACTCTAATAAGGAATCCCTTCTTATCTATATTTGTTGCACGCTAGCAGGGCTATCCCTACACTCTCTCATTCCTCACATATATATAGCTTCCCTCGTTCATAGCTATACAATCAACTCAGTCCTTCATCTCTTCTTCCATATCACATACGTGAGAGTTATGAGCCCGGATTTGCCTACTGCAATCTTTTAACCACTGAAGTTCACTCAACTGCCATCTCTTTGGCATCTATCTCCCGACAACCTATCCCAACTTTGCGATACTCTGCTATCTAGAATGGCATCAGTTGAAACCCAGAGGTCTACTAAGACCGTTGTCATCCTGACAAAACCAGAGGACTGGTCCCTTTGGCTCTTTCAACACAAGGATAAGGCAGTGTCACATGGAGTATGGGAGTACTGTAATCCAGCAGTCTCTACACCACCCACTCTTACGCCAAAACCTGAACGCCCTATACTCCCAGATGGAGACCTTACGGCCGAAGTTCTTCAAGTACAGCGAATGAAGCTCAGCGAGTGGGAATGGAAGTACAAGGAGTGGCACCAGAAAGAC